TTTCCCCTCCTCCCCCTCTGCACATCCACGAGATGGTAGAGGGGAGGGTCGCTCATAGTAGGAAATTCTGAGAGAGGCCTGCATTGTGCGAAAAATTTCCGCAACGGCAGAGTAAGTTCCTGTTTGCAGCCATGAATTCAGTCGGGGCGTGTCACACGGGCATGGTTTGGCGCAGCCCGTTTCCCACGATAATTGCGGCTTCGGTCGTACAACGAATGATAAGACTAGTGCAGGGCCAGAGCCTGCTGATACGCACCGACTGATTTTAATCACAGCGACTGTAAATAACCACCCCATCCAAAAGTGCACTTTACGTCAGCAGACAGGTGCATGCCTATGATTACTGCTGAGCTGCAGAGCTCTCCTTCTCTTCCTACGTGGAGAGACTTCTTTCTAGTGCATATAGTTGATATCGTTCCAGTCGGGCCGGGGTCGGGAGGGAAGGAATGAGTCTACCGGCTGCCATTTCTACCAATAAAGGCTTTGACTGATTTGAAGAGAACAAACAGTGGTGAAAGCTCCGTGGATGGGCTTCATTCCTCTTGACACGCCAGACTGACTGCGACGATATCAACTGAAAATCGCTTGATAAGAAGGGTACGTCGCTAATTTCTGAAGTCATACTCCTGACCATGAATAAATCTTCCTACCACAAGAATGCTGAGTTATGGGCAAAAGTCGTGCCCCAGGCGGGAGTCGAACCCGCACCTCACGCTTTCCGGGCGAGTGCGCTATCCGTTACGCCACCAGGGCCGCTTTTACCCTCTCAGCTTAACGGCTTTTATGCCGTAGCCTATCAGCACTCACACGTTTAACATGGAGAGCCGGTTGGTGTATGTGACAATAGAATCGTAATTAAGCGGACGTCGCGTGCGACGTCGCGCCCGCTAGCGACGATTTCGGTGGTATTGGTCGAGAATAGACAATGTATGACCAAAAATAGACATAAGTGTCTACCATGTCCTTGTCTACATGAAATCCGATGCTCCAATCGAAAGGGTAGTGCAAATTAAGGAAACGTCGCGCCCATTGCCGCGCGCGACGAAGCGGCAATTTACGATTCTCTTGCCCGTCTCCCCGAGCCGGTCAGCTGTAATCGTCAGATATCGGCAATGATCTAACGACTCCCGCCTGAGCTCGACTTTTGCCCATACTCAGCACTCTTGTGGTAACTTTGGAAGCGCGAAGTGCGGCGTAAAACAGTAGTTATCATAACAAACCTTACCCCTATCTGAGGAAAATCGTATCTATCGTGTAAAAATCGTACCACTTTAGCAGTGTCGATGCGTTACCTCATGAGCGAAAATTCACTGAATGCTTACAATACAGTAAGTGACATTGTAACTGTCAATGGGGACTTCTGTGTCCAACTAGACGCTGTTCCAGATCAGCATGTCATTATTTATGGAGTAGGAACCGGTGATAGCTGGACGGTAGAGCTGACCGGAGCCGCAGGCGAAGCCCTGTTTCAGTTTGTTGCAAAATATAAAGAGAAGGCCGTAAGTTCGAAAAACTCATCTTACATATCATATTCCGGAGATGGAAGGGGCGTGGCTGCATGCTTCATTTGGATGTAACGGCGAATGCACTTTTGATGGGATACTGCCGTTTCCGACAACTGTAGCCACTTTGTTCAGCACAAGACAGTATAGCAGATGCTGGAAATACCCCATGGAGACACTTATTATGCCTTATTCCAATGGAGTATGTAGCCGCGCCCTCCCCATCTATGGGATATGAAGCGTGTATGATCGTGGAAATGTAAACCTTCGTCAGGTTACTCGCAACGCATGCATTGGAGGAAACTGGGGGCAAGAAGAGAAAGGGGGACAATTTCCCTTCCAAAGAGATCGTGGTTTTGATCTTTGCATTGCAAATCTGCCTAGTGGCCTCCAGGTGAGTACAGTGATCAGGTACCTTCCTTTTGAAGACTCATAACGCAATCACTTGATAGATGAAATCCCTAGGGATAGAGCAACCCTGTAGCTGACACTTACGCGGCTCAGATGTAAGTGAGAGTGCTGAGGCTGTCAATTACCTGGGCATTTATCTCTGATGTCTCTCCCACGCGCGCAGTGCTTACTCGGCTTTCGCTACCGTTCTAGACTGGGAATCCGCTGGAAGGAATTGGACTTGACCAAGAGTTGCTCCGGCTAATCTGTCTGCTTTTTTCTGAACTATCCACAGGTTCCGACGCTACATTCCAATACCACGAGTTTGCGACCCCGCACTACCATCAGACAGGCACCTGTGGGCATCAACCGGTCTCATCTAGACTCCCATTAAGCCATACCTGCAATGCTTTCTAAGGCAGCGTTCAGACTTCGCGACGGCAGCGCTTCGGTCGCGCGATTCGGCGATCGATGCCCATGCTTTCGACTGCATCGAATCGCGTCGAAAGCGCGACCGAAGCGGCTGCCATGGGGCGCGAAGCTGAACGCTCGTGTCACTCCGAAGTTTGATCGAAACCAAGGCTGATTTACTCGTGTATCAAATTGCTTTATGTTCTCGTAAAGCCTATTCTGTAGCTTTGTGTCAGTGCTACAACACCTCCATTACTTAGGGGGATAAGCTCCGGGTAAATCACTTGCAGGAAATTGAAATATGTTAGTCGACTGACCCATCCCGGAATCCCTGCTTCCAGCGTATACAGTGCGAAATTGCAGATTAGCCTCTTCCAAGGAACATAACACCGTACCTACTGCAGGGTCTCCCCAGAAAAGCCTTATTTTATTCATTTCAGGTTCTCTGCAATAACGCTCGCTTCACGTTGTTCAACCATCGAACTGGAACGCCAGCCAGTGACTATAAAGGGTTGAAAATCACGGGCGACGCAAGGATCATTATGGTGCGAGTCGCCCCATAAATCGGCAGTGTCATTCACTTGTTCCTCTCTGAACACAGTTATCTCGAGCTTTATACAGTCATCAACTGTATAAATAAAGTTTGTGCAAGGACAGCACTTGTTTGTGGGGAGGTATTACTTCCTACCTCATTTTACGTTTTACTCCTTCCGTGAGTCCCGTTACATAGGCATACGAACGGCAGCTCTGTAGGGATCATTGCTGCCCCTACCATGCGAAGCTGTGGTTAGAAATATCCGAGTCGCAGTGATGGCGGCAAAAAAGGCGCTGCAAACGGTGTGAAGCGTACGCGACTCGCACCAGGACCCACCCGCTTTGACGTGGCAACACTGCAGCGCGCCAATTCAATAGGCTCGAAAATAACCTCATGATATGCACGCGGTGGCGCAAAAGGAACGTCCAAAATCATACCTGGCGATTAAGCCCTGAAGATCAGATACGGATCAATCCCACGTCAAAAACGTCGATTACGTCGTTTACGGCAATTGTGTTGGATCGATACGTATTTCATCTGCGCAGCATAGTCACCGAAACGTCGATCACATCGATTACGGCGACGTGGTCGTAAGGTACGAACAGCCTTAAGCCACGTTCAGACTTGCGACTGAAGAGATACGGCGATTTGGGGAGGCTCAGCAATTTGAGAGATCGCGAAGAAAGCATAGATATCGATTTGGTGCTCCGCAGTTTTAGCGATCCAGCGATTCATGAAGACTAGGCACTCCCCGGCGATTGCGCGCCAAAAGAGTGGATGAGTGTCGATGGACGCTGGATGCTAGTGAATACAGATATTCAGCGATCCGGTGTTCTAGGAAATCGCCCAACCTCCCAGAAGCCAATCGCCGTCCTCTGTAATAAAGTATGAACGCAGCCTTAGGTGTAGATATCAACGAATCTGGGGAACTATTCCAATAGGGTGATGGGCAAGAGAATCGTAATTTGCCACTCTGCCGCGCGGCGATGAGGCGATGGGCGCGACAGTTCCTTAACTCGTGTTAAGTACCGGATTTCATGTAGACCCCGTCATCGTGGACATTCATGACTGTTTTGGTTCTGAATTGCTTCTTTCCCATCCTCTACCTGGAACCATAGTCATTTGTGGGCGCGACGTCGCGCGCGACGCTCACCAACGCGGCGAATTACGATTCTCTTGTCACATACCCGTTCCAATAAGGGTGAGACATTTGGAATATTCAACAACTAGAACCTGTGCGCCCATGTTGGAATAACCCCTCAGAACAGACTCGGGTGAAGCTGGGTGGACAGAGAAAAGAAAGACGGCATACCCAGGTCCTTCTCGTAACTTCTTTCGTCCCGCGACTTCTACAGGAATGCTCCATTCTTCTGGCTCACTACTTTATCTTTCAAGTGTTCCACCAAATTCGGATAGCGCCTCTTTGAAAACTACAAGTATGGTAGTAGTAAGTAACAGATTCAAGTATACATGGAAAATTGCCCATCACTATGCACAACTGTCACCTTAGCAGATTGTTCTAATCAATACGAGTTCAGAGGACTCTATGATCAGGGTACAGCATGGGGATGTGCGAAATGTCGGTGTGAGTACGACCCCCCCCCCCTTCGAATGGGGTCCAGGCACGAAGGCACGACCCCCCTCCACCCTCTCCACGGCTTTTTCGCCGAATCGCCGACAACGAGCGAGCGATGAGTATATAGTCGGCGAAAAGTTGTCTTACAAATACGACCCCCCCTCCCTCCCCAGAGCAAAAGTACGACCCCCCCATGGGTTTGACACAACGATGCTGTACCCTGTCTATGATGCCTATTCGGCGCCATATGCGCGCTCTAGAAAATGAGTAAGTATGAATACGGCACATCAAAATCACAAAAATCCAATAACCTAGAAAAAATAATGCGCCCACTCCTGAGTTTATACACGGTCTGGCATGTGTGAACATGTTCCTTGGTTACGTCCAAATCAATCAATTCTACAATTTGAATTCTACATTTTCGCGCCAACCGCCTGCGGGTTCGCTTCGTAGCTGCCCTTCTTGTAAAGCTTTCATACGAGCTTCCAAGAAGCTCAGCGGCTTCTCGAGGCGAAGCTGGCGTCTCCCGTCATTTCTCTACTCTTCGCGGTTAACTTTACTCTCTTACTCATTTCGCCTTCGTCGAGCCCGTTCAGACTCCGCGAGGATTTTTAGCGACTGAAGTTGAAGTGTGGATCAATTGGATGTTCCCACACCTAGTTACCCACTCATTTCTTTCCTTTCCCACGCGGTTTGCTTTCTTGGATTTGCTGTCCTATCAATTAGTCTAGAGATTCGCGAAATTTGAACGCGTTGATTTGGGATTCAAATTTTCGACAGTTCAGCGCTAGTGAGAGAATAGGATAGGGAAGGCAGATAAGTATCGACCGATTGGACTTGTCTCTACCTTGTGCATCCAGAACGGACGAATTGACGAACTGAAGTCTTGCAAGTTTGACGAAAAGAATTAGATATTTATCGACCTAAGGAGATGCGGAATTGACGAATTTCGGAGAATTCGAGTATCTAGTTCTTGTCACTTCTGCAACTTTGATATTGTTCAGCTCTGCAACTCCAGATCGTTACGTATCTAATCCTTTTCGTTAATTCTGCAATTCATTTTTTCAAATCTTCTCTGTAGTAAAGTATGAACGCGACCTTATAATTGTGCGGGCATCTCTAGATGGCCTTGGCCTAGTTAGTAGATACAAATAAAATATCTCCGAAAACACCGTATTTTCAAAAACTCCAAATTTCCAGATCGATCCGTATACTTCCATTCAAAGTATTCGTCTGCATGCGTTCATACTTCACGAATTTGCGTTCCGCCAATTGGACGGCAAGCTCGCGAAAGCGACATGAAGCTACACTGTAGTTCGCTGCGGACGGTTGGGCGTGTCAGGCAGTATGAGTGTGCACCCCGTCAAAGCCGTTCTCTGCCTTCTTGTTGAAGCGCGCATGCGACAAAAAGTGGTAGAAAACGAGTAATACGAACGATATGATACAGTCATATCATTTGCTCGCTTTAACAACTGGTGGAGAACGGGTTTGGCACCGCGCCAAACTCATCATCGCCTGACACGCCCAACCGTCCGCAGCGTACTACACTGTGATTACGCGAGAAATGACAAACAAATGACTTCGATGGGGCAGCTCTGTGTGGAAACGTCCAGTGGATTCATAAATCTCGACCCATGTTTCCTACTTTCCTAGCTACTTTACATTTCGTATTTTCGTTATTTCATCTTGCTCGCTTCATGTTGGTATCGCGAATTGGTATTGAACGCAAATTGCTATCAAATGCTACGTATTTCCTAATCAACTTTCTTTCTAGCTCCAGAGTGAGCTCCTCATGTAAACTTCGGCTGCAAAAGGTCCAGTACCCCAGTCTCACTTCGAGCTGAGCCCATGAAAGAGGCGTTGCAGTTGGCGTCAGGTGCATGGCAGGAGGACCTAGTTGGTTTGTAAAACTGCCGCAGTTGGTTAAGTCAGCCAACTAGGGACTGTGATAGCTTACGCACATGAGCAGTATGCTGTAACGTTCCACACCCAGTTTTCGTTGTGGTTACTTCACAGCAAACTTGTAACTCAGAACTGTGCCTTGCATTGCCACCAGACGAAGCCACTTCTTGACTGCATGTCATGGGTAGTTCAAAGCGATTTTAGGTCCATTTTGCGTCTAAGGCGCCAAAAGAGACGTTCAAAGAGGCGAACGATGGAGTCGCATGCTCGCCGTTCGCACCGAGAGCTATTTGATCTAACTTGGAATTGCTGTGGTGTCTAAGAAACAGCCCCATAGTTTCTGCAAGTCATTGCAGATGTAACGTCCCTCACCCGACTGTCATGAGTCTGTAGGTGACAGCGGGTGGTTGCATCCACATTATGAAATGCGAATGGACCACAGCTGTGCGACTAGATGCGCTCCTCCTCACCTGCTCATTGGGAGTGTTATCCCTCACCCTCTCCGGAGTCACGCTCAGAAAAGCACAGACGATCAAAGCTCGGAGTGGAGAAGCGGGCTAAGTGACGCCGCTTCTCCAGAACTAAAGCAGTGCTTTATAATATCACTCCGCTACGAGAAAGCTATATTCCGCGCCCTTGGTCAGCACATTGACTCCACCGCCTGGTGTGTCGCGCCCTAAGCCAAGGATGGGAGAGTCTTCCGGGAACGGCCTTGGTTACGCTAGCAGCGGTTCATGGACTGCGAAATCTTTTATCCCTTCACTGACTCGCGTACACATCGCCGCTCTCTACAACATAGAGCAAGTCGGCTATAGTTACATGGAGATTCATAAGGGCTGCTTTCATAATTCGCGACTTGAGAACTGAGACGCACGATTAGAGAATCAGCCAACTGCGACCGACCACACTTGCTAATTGTTGGACCACTGCAACTACTAAATTTACAACATTTAGGACATTCCTTCTACCATACGGGCGCCACAACGATAAGAGGGGGAGCGCGGTGCGTAGCAACGCGCGGCCGAGTTTATTGTGTGGCGGAGTGTGAACGCAGCCTGATTGCCCTACTGCTATCTTCACTTTGATAATAAGGATAAGGATAAAGTCTTCGCCGTTGATCAATCCCTTTGTGGGATGCGGCACGCATTCTACTTCCATTCAGAATCGTAGTGGCTTATTGAATGCGATGTGGCCTATACAATGACTTGCGGTGGCCAGCCGATGTACAAGTCAGTGTTTTATCCTCCCAGACGAATCTGGTACCAATTTACCGTCCCCGGAGGGTAGAAGGCTTGGTTGGCCTGGGCGGGAGTCGACCCGGGATTTGAACCCGGCGCCGCGCGAGTGGTAAGCGCGCCACTTGTCACTACACCACCTCCGCCTCACCTTGATAATTGCAAAGGAATTTATATTTTAGATGCAATTCGATTCATTATATTCTTTTCATAGTATAAATCAGGTGCCTCATTTTCTATTCTTTATATACTACTTTTACAGATCCATGTCTGCTCCAAGGGTTAGTGGTCCGCGAATACAAAAGCCAGCGCCCAATGTCGACAACCGCTCGGTGAGGTTATTGCTCTTCTCTTAACGGGAGCAGAATCCTACTATATATAATCCGCTAAGTTTGTCTGTTGATGTGTACGTGTGTATATTTGACCGGAAATTCATAACCTCCTTCAGATTGGCCATACAGGATTCACAGTGATAAGTGATATAGGGGATTGGATGTGAGCATCACTGGTGGGTGGCATGAGGTGACAACAGCTGACAAGAAGCTTTTAAACGGGCGGATCACCAGATTCATAACTCGCGTCACTGCAGCGGTGGAACGGTGGTTCCAAAAAGTTATGTGGGGGCAGGTTGGGAACAATATTGGTGGGTGGCAGGAAGTGATAACAACTGACAAGGGCTGACAAGGAGCCGTAAAAGGGGAGGAACACCAAATCCATAACTCGCGTCACTGCAACGCTGGGACGGTGGTTCCAAGAAATGATGTGAGGGGCAGGTTGGGAACAATATTGGTGGGTGGCAGGAAGTGATAATAGCTGATAAGATACCACAGGGACCACTCAAGAAAGGGAGCTTCTGAAACGTTCAGCTCAAGTTGTAGCAACAGTGGTAGACTGCTTCCAGCAGTGATTCAGTGGGTGGTTAGAGTAATTGTGGTGGGGCATAGGTTGTGATATAGTCCCGATAAGTGCTTATAAGCATGGGTCAAGATGTTTATGTCCTAGCGATACAGCTGAAACGGTTTCGACCGCTAAACTCTCGAGCTTCGACAATGTCTAAATGTCTGAAGATGTTTGCCAATGAGGAGTGATAAGAGCCATAAGGTAGATACGTGGAAACTGCTTCACCATTTTGACGTAGCACTAGAATGTAAAGACGCAATACTTTTTCGATACTGTTACCATCGAAATTCTTTGAGCCGCAAGAGCTGCCCGTATTTCAAACGAATGATGGGTGTTTAAGAAGTGCGATAAGCACGACGGGTCAGCACAGAGATCCGTCAGTGACCAGTAGCATAGGTTTAGCCATGCGCGCAGCAGTGCGCGTCGGCCAAACTGGTAATCCCATAATACATGTACCGAAACCGCATTTATAGTTGACGGCAGGTCGACAGACGATGGGCGACTACTGAAAAAGAGAACCGAAACTGCAACTGTAACGAATGAATTCTAGTGATTGTACGATAGGTGTGCTTGGGAAAAACAGGGACTTGGTCACGGAAATTACTGAACCAACCAACCGTGATCGCCTTCGCCGGCGGTCATATTTGGAACGCTAGAAAGTTTGAAAAAATCGTCGGAAGAATGCACCCAAATAAAAATCATCCTCTGACATTCGGCGCATACTCTCCGATTCTTCTAATCCTCGATTCCAAAAAGTACATCAAAGGATGAGATGTTTAGGGAAGACATTCAAAGAGGTTTCCAAAATCAGATTTCTCACTTTTAGTGGAGCGCTACATTTCCCGAGGAATTGAGTGCATGGTCTGATTCGAAGAAGTTCATTTCGAGGTGCATGTACGTTGTTTTCTGTCACATAATTGCCAGTCGAGGACTTCTACCGAGTAATAATTTGAAGAAGAGAACAATTGACGGTAAGCGCTGTCGTTATCGAAAATGCTTGTATATGAATGGTACATTCTTGAAAAATATACCTTAACGTAGTTGAGGGGACTTAACTGAAGCTCCATATTCCTTAGTTCTAGCTGGTTCCTTAATGCTGCGTTTTACAGGTAACGTTCGTGCATATGTCATGAACTCTTCCGAGATATTAGGAGCGCGACTCGTTCAAAAATTCAAAGGAGTCTCTGATGCCGTTGAGAAGAACTACCTTCGAGAACTGATGCTTGTAATCAGTCCCACAGAACAGGATGAGAACGATGCTATTGAGGTGTATTGCTGGAGGTTGCGATACGATGTTGATGGTGATCCACTAGCGGAGTTGAGACAGTGAGATTCTTTAATGGAAATGCATTTATGTTGTTCGATCTATGTTATGATGTTTACATCTCTTCAGAGCTGATGGGACAGTAATGCTCGCGCTTCGCTTCAAAGGAATGCAACATTTGAAAAAACAAGTAGCTGAGCTGTTGGCGCGGATCAGATCGTTGTGCAAGGGACTATTGGGACCATTGCCTCCTGGAGCCTCAGCAACCTTACGAATGACCTACACTGACCGTGAGTTCATTGTTATTGTAATGTTTCGAAATGGCATCTTCCCATTATTATTCGAGACTGTTCTCTCCCTCACTCGATTAGCTGCCAGTAACTGTATCAACTCTGATCTAGCCTAGTCTTGTTTTCTGATACATTCTTTTGATCGCCCCAAGTTCCTAGTTGGATATAACACCACACCCCCCCCCTCCTCCTCCATACTGCGGAAGGAACATCGGGAAGTGGCGATTCACCGGGATGCTGAAAGGCACATTGTATGGTCATTTGGAGATGGGTCTTTCCCATGTGCGAAATAAGCAGATCCTTCCGCAAGGGAAGTGCTGCCTGAGCAGATAAACACAACCCCACCAACAATATACGAAGTAGTGGCTTTGCTTTGCAAACCGATAGTCGCTAAATGAATCCAGAGAAGAAGAAAGCAAGAAAAAAATCATGGTCATGGAGATCACTCTGAGTAAGGACCCCTGGCTACCTCTGTACGCCCTCTTAGGCACGCCAGCGAAGCGATAACCGCCGCTTCTAACTGCCTTAACTTAGCGTCATCCAATGCTAATACCATCTAACAGTGAAGAAACACGGTGTAAAAGCTGAACTCGAAACAAAAAATAGCCTCTGAGTTTTGGTGGGGCAGAGCAACTGGGGAGGCGTCAGAACTGCCACTTATGAGAACCGCAGCGCCTTCGTTACTTACTGTGAAGCCGCGGAAATGGGACAGTCCTAGAGATTGCGGACCAGAGTACTCGAATAAGGGAGCAAGCCTACGAATTGCTTGAGCGCTAGATCTGTCCTTGAGGAAGTCGCCACTTATTGTTAGTGAGCAATACGCAGGTTACAGTTACGCCATGTGGTTAGCCAGAGGCCTGACTTAGCCCCGAGTCCGCCTACAAGGCTGAGCAATAGTTCCTGAGATTTTGGAGATTGAGCTCTAAATTCATTTACTTCACCTGTTAGCCCAGAGCGAGATTATTAGTGTTCGTGAAGCATTTCACATTCTATCAAAGTGTTCCCTTCAAATGACCGCCTTTCCCCGTGTTCTCTCTCCAACTCGCAGCCGGACTAACTATATGCAGCTGAAGCTTGACATCTGTATCACTCTTCTCACTTCCCATGATGGATCCAGCTGGAGTATATATCGACAGGAGAGAAGAATTGCATTGCCTTACTCAGCTACTCGCACAAGCGACGATGGCTCAAGCAAGGAGATAGGGGATCCTTAACTTCGACCGGAGTCCACGAAGATCATGTGGCTGGTGAAATGTTAAGGGAATCGTCCATCGAGATGTGCTGCCTTTCGGTCCTATTATCAATGCTGAGAGAACTGCGTACCTAGCTGTACTTAGCTGGAAGATGTAGTGCGAACAGCTCAGCTAAGAAACGGATAGAGGGAAGTCCCCTAGATGACAAAACGCGCCCACGTTGACTCGGATGAAGCTGTGAATTCTAAACATCACAGTTCCTCCTCACCCACCGTATGGCCTGACATTACCCTGCGTCACTTTCACCTCTTTCAGTGTTTCGCCATGTCACTGGAAGGGTGTCACTTCGTTTATGAAGATAACCTCAGAATGGAAAGGCAGCTGGTCTTTGATAGCAATTTCCAAGGCCACATTAAGGAGAGAATCTAGAAAATGCCCAAGTGTTAGCGCCTTAACAGCATGCAGTAATATTGGAGGGGCACACCTGTGAGGTAACACTAAACAAAGGATTCCAAACAGTTTGGAAATGAAATATAATAATGTTATGTAATGGAAATAAATATAATATACGTATCGAATTGAAGACGCATATATAAAAATCAGCTGTCACAAGCCTCTAGCATTTTGGATGATGGAAAGCTGCAGTTCTATTTCTGCGGACCTGCTTTACAGATAGGTGTTCTCAGTGACTGTGCAGTATTTCTATGTGAGTCTTGTCGCTCTAGTTTTGAGAATTTTGTCAGGATGATTCTGCTTACGCGTTCTTATTAACCAAAAATGTCATAAAGGACTGGGTCATAACCGATCTAATTGAGGAATCCACAGAAATCTTATGTTTCACAAGGCGATGGGATGTTTGACTTGGTGAAGAGGGAAGGACCGAAAGCTAGGAAAGCCGCGCGCCAGTCAAAACTATACAATCGTAGTCGTATGTGTGTTGCAGGAACACCGAAGGGTTACCAGGCACCAGGCTTCTATCGTTCTCCCGATGATCCCATTTTAAGGCCGGAAGCACAAGAAATTGAAATCGGAGCTATGCAAACTAAATATCACGGGTATGTCAAAACTAGTTATTTTCATTCAGAATTTTTTCGAGACGCAATAGAGCTATGTTTTGCTCTGATTGTAGAAAAAGCTCTTTTTTAGCGCATCCGTGGTTGTACAAAGTGTATACATCGACGACGCATACGCTGCAGAGCTAAGACTCAAGGAAGGCATGCAGCTTACTAACTTAAATGACTCGCTGAATGATTCTTTTGGTGAGGAACCGGAATCTGGAGATGAAGGAAACCGTTCTGGTGACGGGTATAAAAACAACACGATGGAACGTATCACTGAGACTGTCGAACCTCAGGTACGGTTCGTTCAGTGTACCAAAATCATGACTTCAAAGTTAGGTGTCTGTATATGTGTTTATTCCGCTCTTTAGGTTGAAGCCGTGGAAATACCTCGTGATGAACTCTCGGCCAGACGTGATGACAGTACTACCCGCTCATTGAATCAAAGCACGGAATCGGAGCTAAATCGAATGACGAAACTAAGTGAGTACTAGTTCTATGAGTGATGCAAACACAAGGTTAATTTTGCTGACATTTTCACACGGGAGAAGGGCCAAGCAATGACCACGCCGAGCAAGCAATTAGGGAGAGGATGTGCAGTGTACCTGGCGTAATAATCCACAGTAAGCCGAATATAGTCTTGTTCAGCGCGGGTGGTAGGGCGTGCCAGATGAGCTGCACAGGCGGCATGGTGCCAGCTTTTTTTTGTTTCGGTAAGCGACAAGTTTGCATCGTATCGCTCGTGTCAGTCCTTTTCCACCAATTTCGCCTCTTACCCGTTCCAGCAAACTTGAGGAGAACGGGAAGGCATGCCAAACCCATTTTCCCTGACACGCCTCATCATCTGCAGCGAACAAGACCGTACAACCCGTGCGACGTTCCCGTAAAAGTTTAGAATACATCCTCGACTCGTTGAAACTTCTTTGGTTTGAACAGTTTCTTTGAAAACTGGTAACTGTGATTTGAATCGAGCATGCATGTCAACCTTTCTAAGCCAGAACTTTGAGATACATCACTAGATCTTGCAGGCCTTGTTGGAGATCGTGGATCGCCAGCAACTTTGTTATCGTCCGATAGCACATCTCCCGAGGACATGCCTCCGAAGCGTACTCGTCGTGTAAGAGGGACTAGAGTTCAACGCGGACAGCCAGTCAGTGAGACTCCAAAATCTCCGGTTCTTATCTCTGTACGTCATTAAGCTTGTTTTCCTACTCACTTTCTGAGGATTGTAATGGGCCTTTAGGAGTCCCCAGTGATTGCAGAGTCGATTACTCCTAAAAGAACAAGAGGAGATGTAAGTTCTTGACATTTGATCATGAACGTTGAAATTTGGTTTTTTTTTGTTCAGAACACCTATGACACTCCACCAGCGAAAAGGACACCAGGGAGTATGAAGCTGTCAAGGGTGAGTAATCCTGTCCAACAAGTAAAACCCGCCACGGTTTTTCCAACACGGCTGATTTCAGGCGACTCCAAGAGACCCACCAAAAAGATATCTAAAATGACTGTTTTCCTTCTGATTCAAATTTTCATCAAGACAGTGCCCTCTTTGAACGTTTTCGAATACTCTTTTCATGAGGCTGCGCTCACGCCTCACGATTACGTCGTTGATATCGATGTAATTTACGTTTTTGGCGATTATGCTGCGTAGATGAGATACGTATCGATCCGAAGTACTCACTGTGACGGACCTACAGTCTTGATGGCTGTGGATGAAGGGGTGTGTCAGGCGGGCTGTTTTTGACATGGCCCCAAACCCGTTCTCCACCACTTGTTGAAGCGGATAATCGACAACAAACGTGTAAAAATGGCAGATATGGACGATGTGGTACAGCCTCGCTTAGTCGCTTCACAAACTGGTGAAAAACAGGTTTGGCGCCGTTCCAAACCTATCCCTATTGATACACCCTTTTATTCACAGCGGGCAAGACGGTAGTCCGGATCAATAGGCGTTTCATCTTTGCAGAACTGTCGCCGACAAGTCGATCACGTCAGTTACGTCGATTACGGCGATTGTTAGGTGTAAACGAATGCAGCCTTATTGATCGCCGAGAATTTGTCTTTTGCGTAAATCATGTGAATGTTCCTGTAAATGATAGAATTTGTCACTTTTTGTTATTGACATCAAACGCACGTGATCCCAAATTTTGTTGACATTTTTTATATTCTCGACTGCTGCTGCAGATAGGCCATGTTCAAACTCCGCGATTCCAAACGATACAGTCGTGCGACTGCTAATGATCGGCTCTACAGACAATTGTTGCACCGCTACCGAGTTCGATATAAATTTTACCTTGAGTGGGATCAAATTAGATATCACAGCGATTCAACGATTAGCTGTGGAGCGCAGTTAGTCCCAGTCACGTGCGATTTTCAAATCACGCTACGTAATGGCTCGCGTCACAAAGTATGAACGCAGCTATAGAGCTAGCAGGATGTTCTGTGAGTTGATTGTGTTCTTTTTTAACCTTGCTATGTTATTGGTATCAATTAAGCTTGTTCCTATTGTTTGTGTTGTGCAGCCTAAGGCTTGCTACATCTTGTAAATGAACTGTTGTCGTGGAGTTTAAGTGAATAGGAGTGCTCCGAGCGGTGCAGTTTGGCTTGGAAGGGGGGGGGGTCATTTTGCCGGTTCCTGTCGATGCATCCGTGAAAAATTGAAAGTTTCTGTGAAACTATGCAATAGTAGTACTTTCCTTGACAATTGTCAAGAGTCTACAGGACTCACCAGGGTAAGACGTGTAAATTGACAAGAATTGGCAAGGGAAGCTAGCGAAAGTGCAAAATGCCCCTTCTAAGCAGAATAGCGCCTTCCGAGCAATATTAGATGTAATGGATATGCATTGAAACCATAACGTGTGAGGTTGATGCCGGTGAGTTATTGTACTGAATACCGTTTTAGGACCTCGAGGGACAACAATTTGGCAAGCCCCCTCCCCCTTCTCCCCTCGCTTGGATTGCGTTCGACACTGCAAAATAGGATAATTTACGAATAAGAAAGTTACCTATCGGTCTGGAGGATAGGAAAATCCACATGGGTTGGATGCATAACGATTCAGGTTCAGTTCTGCAAGTCTTCAGTCGATACGTACACAGGCGCAGTTCGGCTTGGGGACCCATTTCGTGGTTCTTATCGATCGCTGCCTACGCCTCCTATGGGAAGACTGTAAACTCTGAAGCTAAGAAGTACCACTACCTTCATTTACACCAACAGTTTAGAAGATAATCTAACCAAAATCTGACAGGATCTAGCAAGAGAAACTAGTGAATAAGGAAAATGTCCCCCCCCCGCCCCTTCGGCCAAACAGCACCTGCATGCTTTCGTTTTCGTGAATCGTCCGATTCTCTAGTGGCGCAACATATGAGCGCAGCCCTACGGTTTCTAGGCTGGACTTGGGCCTAATAAGTACAACTATTGAGGTGGTGGAGGATGAGAGGGAAGGGGTCCCACTTTCAGAACAACTATCAAGGGTAGATATTATTATGAGCGAAGGGACTGAACTCGTGCTATTCGACCGGAGCCAGTCAACCCAAAGACAAGATTCCCCTAGAAGTTGCCAATTACGTGGAATCCACAACTTGTTACGTGGCTGAGGGATGTGGCAATAAAAGTGAGGCTAGTGGCGTGCCACCTTCAAAAAAAACACGCCATCATTTCTCAAGCACTCTACCATCCTCTAGCGGCTATATTTTTACCAGCAACTGGACGTAAGTATGAGAAGGTTAGCGTTTTGTTAACACGAATATATCTACAAAACACTTGTGTTCAAAGACAAGATTCACGGTTATCTGTGAGGTGGTCCGTGCCACACAGGAGCTGTCCGCAACTGCAGAAGTATGCCATTTTCACCACTCAAAAGGGCGGAAATGAGGTTGGAGCGTGGTGGAAGCTGGATAACAGGCAAGCACAACATGCAGGAAACAGCCAATACAGTTGCAATTTTCCGCTCTGTTGCTCGAGGCGGAGTGCAGGGCAATCATTGGTTGGGGATTTCGGTCGAGTCCGTACGACCCCTCTCCCTTTTCTTGAGGGGGTTGGTACGATCCCCCCCCCCCCCTCCGGCTCTTTGTCCTTCCTCATCGAACTGTCGAGCGGGGGGTCAACAGCACATGTGAAACGGGAGAAGCCGCGAGCAAAATACGACCCCCCCCCTTATACCGATTCTTAGATCTTCCCCAGCTTCCTGCCACTTTTCCAGAATTTCCGAAAATCTCCCTCCTTTTTTTTAAAAATTTTGCTGTCGATCGGGGGAAGGGGCAAGAGGGGAGGGGTATATAGTACATATGAAACAGGAAAATCACGGAGAGTCAATCACCTCTCCCGATAGGCCAGAAAGTAAACAAGTAAATACCACCACTCCCAAGAGCAAGTACACCCCCCTTTTTTTACAACGTCCGTGAAGCGAGAAAAATCAACTATCAAAATAAATTTTTCTCAGCCCAAATACGACCCCCCCCCCCTCTCCCGCGACCAAATATGACCCCCTGTTGGGGATTCCCCAGCAACGATGTGCCCTGGCGGAGTGCTTAATTTGCGTTGAATCTGTCGATTGGAGTACCGAATGTTGTGTGATCTACGATAACGTGGATATTCATGGCAATATTAATTCTGCATTAGCTACTATCGTCATCTACGACCTTGCAACCTGATCATTTGCGTTCGCACGCAACGTCCATCAGTGCCGCGAATTACGATTGTCTTTCCATATATCCTGCGTCAACGCCTGAAGTCCCGCAACGAACAGCATGAATGCCAAGCTGTTTATCGCGACCAAGTGTAGAGAGCAATCGCCTTTCAAACAAACGAGAGAGGAGCGAACGAGTGGCGCGATTGACCTGGCTAGGCAAACATCTGGTAGTGTGGCGTGTCGCGTGCTACGTGCTTTGCTCGCAGGTGGAGCCCTAGGGGCGTGGTCAGTGAGGTCGCAGCGGCCAAAGGCGAGTTTCCCTGCTCAGCCTTTCAGATATAACTGTTCAAGGGACAGGAAAGAGCGACATTAGTGAAAATGGAATCTTGCTTCCGCTTTAATGCTCATTTCCACTACTCCAGTCGACCACTCTGTGCACTGCAAAAATTTGCAGCGCACTGCCGCCGAGACACCCTCTTGATTTGCGGCAAATCTCGATTGTCTTTTCCGTCGACAAACTTATGCGCATCGGGAATCTGCCGCCCACTGCCGCACAGTGCCGCGCGCGAGGGCGCGACAAACCACGATTGTCTTGTCGGTTCCCGAGATCTCAATTTCATCCAGCGAGGATAATGGGAATTACTGAAGAAAGAAAGAATTGCAACAAGCGGTGCATCGACGCCATTGTCTGTGCCTTCCGACTTCCATTTTTTCCCTAGCTCTGCGTGGGTGTTCGCTCGGGATTTCGATCTCAACACAAGAGCTGCACCTTGAGGATAATCTGCCACCCGGGTCACCACCACAAGGCCCTCATTTCCGCGCGTTTT